AAGAGCAATGCCACCCGTGACCGAGATTCAAACCGACAACAGTGCACGTCACAACCGACGCTTTGGTCAATAATTTTTTATTCAATACATTTATTGTAACTCATTTATCCCAGCATAAGCATAGCTTATTCAGGTACAAAATAAATCAAAATGAAGTTTATTTATTTAATTGTATATCATTGTAAAGTTGTGATTTGATTAAATAATAATTTTTAAAAAATTATATAGATTTTATCCAACAGAGTATTACCTAACATAATAAATGGTTTTCAAATTGTAGAACAAATAGTTGATTAAAAGAATGAATCTAGTGCCAAAATTATTGGGGGTTGGGCTAGGCGACACCCTGCTAAAGGTCACAATGTGATTAGTTGAGGGGCACAATTTTAAGCTCGAATACCTTCTTATCTTAGTCTAGATTCAAGAATAATAACAATTATGAAAATTAAAAAATACATTATGTTTTTGTATTTAACAATTTCTTATCAATTTTATAGTAGTACCTATCGATATTTTACTCTTCAGTTTTATAAAAAAAATTTAGAAAACGTAGGTATGCATTATTACTATAATCATTACATTAATAATTACTCAACCAATTGATGGAATACATGCAAAATAGAAAATTGTGAATATTGTTAATGTTCTTTTTTCAAATCTGATACCTACATAAATAATATAATAATTAATAGTATGTATATATCACTATATATGTATATTATTATTAACGATTATTATTATATCCACTATTGTATCTATATTGTTTAATACTAAATATGAATAGCTTAAAATTAAAAATTAACTTATAGTAATAATGCTACTCGCAGTGGTGTAAGTAAAATTTTGACTATGAGTGGGTGTATGGATACTATGAATTACATTGCTAATATTAATGAAAAATCTAGTATTATAAATGTGTAATTATTTAAAATAATATATTAAATTGAACTTGAATAGTCCTTACATAGTTATTTGTCTAATGAAACAAAAGAAAGTGAAACTAATGAAGTGTTCTAATTTATCTATGACATAAAAAGAAAAGTGGGTTACTATTTCTTATAGAATGAGTCAGAAGAAGGCCTATCAGGCTAATGAATTTAGTTCAATTATAACATAATTTCTTGAGAAATTTGTAAGTGAACAAGCTAAAAAACGTGAAGTTGACATTATAGTATTCAGCAATGGATGTACATACCGAAACAGCAATGCTACACTAGCCAATGCACTATTATATTTGTCTATTTTATCTGGTGTCACTAATGAATAAAAATGTCTACAACATTGTCGTATACAGATGGAGGTTGACAGTATGCACTCAACCATAGAGAAGAAAATCAGAAATAAAAAGATTAATAAACAAGCTGATTACGTTTCAATATGCATAACTGTATGTACTAAACAATCATATATTGTTAAGTACTTATCATATGATTTATTAAAATCATTTTCTATACTTAAATATTGTTAACCCTTAAGACCAGAGTCCAGGAAGTAAAAAGGTGTCCCGTAGTGACTTATATAAAAGCATTAATTATAAACCACACCAATAAATCAACTATAAACTAAGATTTACTGAAGATTGATCAAATCTTCATCTATTAAGAAATAATTAACAAAATGTAGTTATCTCAGAATCATTACCACAACTACATATGGATAGAATAAAAATTAAAAATTAAAAATATGAACATTTGCAGCAACTCAAAAATAGTATATGGAAAAATACTATCATAATTTTTTTGATAATTTGAATTAACTTTTATACCTATAAATAAGTATTGTGATGGTAACACAGTTATTTTATTATATTATTTTTACTTTATTTTATTTTATTTTATTTAAAAACTATATTTTATATAACTATTTAAAGAGAATATTCTATAACACCAAAGATAAGGTTAAATATTATTTTAGTTTTTATTATATTATTTAAAGTTGTTGATTATTATTTTAAATTTGTTTATTTAAGTATTGTGATATGGTATCTAATGTAATTAATTTTTTATATCATCATACTTAAAAGCTGTCCATACTTATTAGACAATACAAGACAAAAAAGTTCTAAGTCCCTTATAAAAATTAAGTAGCAGTACAATATTTAAATTGTTTTAATAAAACAACAGTTATGTTATTTCAATGAAGCAGGGTTTAAAAAACCCGACCCGGTTGGGTTTAAATGGGTTTTAATGGGTTTTAATGGGTTTTAATGGGTTTAAATGGGTTTTAATGGGTTTAAACGGGTTTTAAAAATTTTAAAATGAATGCCGTTTCCTGACACTTTTTTAAAGGGAAGTTCCCTACAAACCTAACCCACAAAACATAAATGTACCATTTTAAATAGTTTTTATAAATACAAATTTAATATTATATAATAATAATGTATTATTATATTCCCATATTTATTCTACGGTTGGTCACTCTCGACTTTCGGAGTAAAATGTAAAAATTGGTTGTTATCATTTGCCGGAGAACGGCCCTCAACGTGATTGAATTAGTTCCGTTATAAGTTATAACTGATACGTGATAACAATATTATTAAATTATTTTCACTTTTAATTTTTGAATATTGACTCAAATTGTCTTGAGTTTTTCAATAAATTATTCTGTGATTTCAATCATAAATTGACCAATTTATTGTAGTTTCGTTTTATTACTTTATTACACGCACTTGATTCGTCATGTCGAAAGGACGTAAAATTGCATTAGAGTGGTCGGAAGTTTTAAAAATCGACAATGACTCAAAATGCAAATGTAAACATTGTAATGAGTTAATCAGTGCCAAAATTGAAAGAATTCGTGGGCATTTAAATAAATGTCTGAAATATCCACAGAACCAAATCCGAAGTATGTACCTACTACCTGTTCTTACTTATTTAATATATTGTTATTTTTTAAAACTTGCAAGTATTTACAATTTTTTTTTTTTTTTTAATTTTTAATCAGCTGAAAGACAAGCATACAATTCAATTCAAAATGATAGTGAAACTGTTGATGATGATTTTGTATTTGTGAATAGCCCTATGTCTATTGATAGACCAACAAGTTCTTTGAGTTCTGTTTCCTTGACAGATATTTCAGAAGTAGGAGTTGTAGGACTATCGCAGTCACCAACGTCATTGTTTGCGAACATTTCAGGATCAACAAGAACAAGTACTCCTATACCTATATCCAGTAAGAGAAAACTACAGACATCAGTGACTGATTTTACAATAACAACCACTCAAAGTCAAAAAGAAAAATTAGATTTATTAGTTGGTAATTTCTTTTTTTCTTCAAATTTGGCATTTAATGCTGCCGATAATCAGCACTTTAAGACAATGATTACAGCTTTACGCCCAGGTTATACTCCACCATCGCCATATCAAATAAGTGGAAAACTTCTAGATGCTGCATGTATTAAAGTGAACGAAGAATTAATAACCCAATTGCAAAATTGTTCTTTAACACTTATTTTAGATGGATGGTCTAATGTAAAAAATGATCCTATACTTGCTACTAGCTTACACACAGGAACGAATTGTTTCCTTTATGATGCTTTAGATACTGGTTCAATTAAAAAAACAGCAGCATTTTGTGCAGAACATGTTATAAAGATGATAAATAAATGTAAAGAAGAACTTAAAAAAGATGTATTTGCTATAGTTACAGACAATGAAAATAAAATGAAAAGAATGAAACAATTGCTTCAAGAAAAATATCCGGATTTAGTTATTTATGGTTGCTCTGCACATTATGTGAATTTGATTGAAAAAGAAGTAACTCCAAAAACGGTTATGAAACATATTGTAGAAGTACAAAAATATTTCAGAAATGTGCATCAAGCGCATGGATGGCTCAGAGAAAAGAAAGGGCTCATGCCACAAATTCCAAATGAAACGAGATGGAGTTCTCATTCTGCATGTGTTAGAACATTTGTTTCAAATTACCATTTATACCGTCAAATTTCTACTGACAATGATGATTTTGATAATAATATTGAAAAAATATTAAATAACGTTGGAATTTATAGAGAAGCACTCAACTTACAAGACCAACTTATATCTGTTTCAAATGCATTAGACAGATTCCAAAGTGACAGCACATCTATATCTGATTCGGTAGATGTCTGGAAAAAATTGTTATTAAATGAAAATTTACTACCTTACAAAGACTGTTTTATAAAACGATATAAACAAGCCATTGAACCATATCATCTTCTTGCATATATGCTGGACCCACAATATATTTTTCAAAATGCATTAACGTCAGAAGAAGAATCTGTTGCAGAAGATTGGATAATTTCAATGTATCCTCATTTCTTACCTGCAGTTATGGCTTTTAAAATTCAAGATGAATCTTATTTTCCTAAAACTATGTTCAACTCAAACATTTTAAAAGAATTTAAAACTATACAATGGTGGCGTATAATGGAAAAAAAATGTGATAAAATTGAAAATGTTCCTAATGACTTTTGCAAGTTTTTGATATCTTTACATTCTTGCCCAGCTTCATCTGCTTCCATTGAAAGAATATTTTCCACATATGGACTTGTATGGAGTGATTTAAGAAATCGTTTAGGTGCAGATAAAGCACAAAAACTTGTTAAAGTTTATCGCAGCTTAAGTTGTACCAAAAGTCAAAACCAAATAACAAAAGACTAAAGAGTAAAGACTAAACATTAATACTTAAACATATACCTATTGCTTATTTAAAATTAAATATTACTTATTACTTATAAGTTATAACGATAAACTATTATATTTGAGAAACTTATAAAGTACCTAATTAGTCCTAATATAAATAATTTTGGTATACCTACCTACTTATAATTTATATAATATTACACAGTTAATTTGTTATTTGTTAATTTGTTTATTTAGTTTATTATCATTCACCAGTAAACATTAAAAAGTTATTACTTATTCATTTTATTATTATTACTTAATTCATATTGTTTATTGTTACTAAAATATAATAAAAAAAAAATATGCAGTTTGAAGTTTGTTATTTATTTTTTTTTTGGTTTTTTTCTGGGTTTTTTACTGGGTTTTTTTACTGGGCCCAACCCATTAAAACCCGGTGGGTTTTAATGGGTTGGGCCCAGTACTTTGAACCCTGCAATGAAGGCAGAAAAAAATGTCTTACATTTTGTAAAGTGAATTTATTAAATGATTTTTTCTTATAATGAAAAATGTGTAATCTTGGGATATATGCCTTTTGAGACTTAGGCCGACGATAAGTTGTTATATTAAATTCTATACCTAGAAGACTTAAAAAATTGAAAACAGATCCATATTACAGTTTAGTTACGCTTCTTAATCCGCATCTAAAACCATCAGAATTTATGATTAAAGAAGACTTAACAACTGCAATAGATATAATAGTTAATGACTGCTTACCAGTAAAGCAGCATCGTTCAGACAGGACAAGCGATACCGCAAAATGACCGAAATGGATGTTCCTAGACGCAATATGGTCAGATTTCTATGTAGGTAGATGTACAACAGGGTGATTAAATCCAATTGAATCCAGAAAACTGACGACTAAAATCCTAATGAAAAAAAGTAAAAATACAGTAAAACGGAGTTCAAATGAAGTGGAACGTTACGTCGTATTCCACATTAATCCGGCTAAAAATAAAACCGGTTGTGTTTCATCGCATCAAACGCATTGTATTACCGCATTTTTTTTTTATATAGTGCGACATAACAGTATAATACAAATCATGAATAACATAAAAAAAGAAATCGCCGGAATAAGTGGATTTCAGTAAGACACGGCACCACAACTGTACGTTGACGAATAAGCGATCTGTAATCTTAATATATAATAAATTTACCATAAATGATGATGCAGATGATGATGGTGAAAAATGTGATACAACAAATTACACCAAGTAGCTAGAATATTAAATCAGCGTTAATTATTATTAATTTAAACGTCATACTATAATACCGTTATCATTGGAAATACAATGAACATTAAAATTTAAAAACTGGTAAAAAAAGAACCAAGATAAACAACAAAATGGCATAAAGAACCACATGGCAGTATGGCACAGTAAGCTAGTAAGCAGTAAATACATCAACAGAGTAAACGAGTAAAGCCTAGCCTACGGTCACCGCTACGGCAATACTGCTACGGTGCTTCACAATAGGAGAGGGAAATTTCAAATTATCGTTAGTATTATCGATATTATCGATTGTTTGAACTATCGCCTACGATTGATATTTGGTTTAAACCCATAGAGTAATATAGTACGGAAGCGTTGAAGGGCCAACCATATGTTTTTTTTTATCTCATTATTATGGATTATCACAAGTCGTTATTATGGATTATAATTCATAATAACGGATTCGATAACTCGTAATAACGGATTCGACAAGTGTAATAACGGATTGTACAAATCATAATAACGGATTCGACAACTCGTAATAACGGATTCGACAAGTGTAATAACGGATTGTACAAATCTTGTTTTTTTTTTTTTTTTTGGTTTTTTTCTGGGTTTTTTACTGGGTTTTTTACTGGGTTTTTTTACTGGGCCCAACCCATTAAAACCCGGTGGGTTTTAATGGGTTGGGCCCAGTACTTTGAACCCTGCAATGAAGGCAGAAAAAAATGTCTTACATTTTGTAAAGTGAATTTATTAAATGATTTTTTCTTATAATGAAAAATGTGTAATCTTGGGATATATGCCTTTTGAGACTTAGGCCGACGATAAGTTGTTATATTAAATTCTATACCTAGAAGACTTAAAAAATTGAAAACAGATCCATATTACAGTTTAGTTACGCTTCTTAATCCGCATCTAAAACCATCAGAATTTATGATTAAAGAAGACTTAACAACTGCAATAGATATAATAGTTAATGACTGCTTACCAGTAAAGCAGCATCGTTCAGACAGGACAAGCGATACCGCAAAATGACCGAAATGGATGTTCCTAGACGCAATATGGTCAGATTTCTATGTAGGTAGATGTACAACAGGGTGATTAAATCCAATTGAATCCAGAAAACTGACGACTAAAATCCTAATGAAAAAAAGTAAAAATACAGTAAAACGGAGTTCAAATGAAGTGGAACGTTACGTCGTATTCCACATTAATCCGGCTAAAAATAAAACCGGTTGTGTTTCATCGCATCAAACGCATTGTATTACCGCATTTTTTTTTTATATAGTGCGACATAACAGTATANTTACTTATATTATATTATAATAATATAATATAATTTATATAATAAGTAAAGTATAATAAATACTATGCATTAATCATATAATATAATATATAATATAATAAATACTATGCATTAATCATATAATAATGACAAGGAAGCGAAAAAAATATATAAAAACTAATGACTGTCTTCACTATAAATCAAAACTCCATTTTCATCTTCAAAATCATTATTCGATTCTTCAATGTTGGGTTTGAAAATATCATTGTAAAATTCTTTGGCATCTTCGGGAATTGTAAAATATTTCATTAAGTTTTTTATATCATTCTGTTTCGGCTCTTTTACATGATTGACTTGTGAAAGTTTCAAGACATTATTTAAATTTTCTAAATTTGCACCTCGCTTTAAAACTTGTATTCGTGTTGGGGTAGCTTCATACGAGGATGATATTCCTACTAATTTGTCTCCCTTTGTATAGGTAAATATTTTTTGTTCAGTTGATTTAAATCCCAATTTACTTTTAATAACATTTTTTATGTTTGTTTTAAAATCTGACATTTCAAAATCCTTACCATATTCCCATACCGTGCAGGATTCTCTGAATATATCATGATATGTTTTTGGTGATAAAATATTCTCAATCTTTCTCAGTTTTTGCTCAATTCTTCCAAATACTTGGTCAGGAGGCATGTAACTATGTCCTCTAACGGGAAATATATGTTTAATCGTAGTAAAAATTGTTGATTTATAGTTTATGAAGTATAATAACAATGTCATGACAAACTGGTTTTTATTTTGGGCAGAGCAGGAATCTGAAAATAATTTCAAAACTTTTGGTGACTGACCTGCTGCTTTTAATTTATTTTCTAACTGTTCCAAAAAGTGTAACAATGCACTACAAATCTCATTAGGGCCACGACCACTTTGAGTTTCTAGCCAGGTATACAGATCTACATTTTCAGCAGTTTGATGATCCGAATTAGATACAAATGTCAAATTGTAAAGCCAAGCTTGTCTGCTGTAAAATGTATCGGTTACTGAAAGTTTGGGAAGAGCTTGGTTTTGCATCATATCAAAACTGCATATAATTTCACTCTCGTTTTTCTCATACATCAATTTAAAAAAAAACTTGGATAATGCTTGGTGAGTTTTGAGTTCCAATTTCATTTCATTTTTAAGATGCTTATCGTTTTCTACAGATATCTTGGAAATTTTTTCTGTACAGAAACTACATACATCTTGTCTTGGGTGCCCAAATGATATATTAAATTTATTTGTAAATATGTTATAGTATTTACTGAATGACGCTACTGGTAAATCATTTGATTTTCTTTCAGCTTGCCACTTTGACCACATTAAAGTTACGTTTAATTCAGGAGGCAAGTAACTTCTACCAGTATCTTTTCTAGTATGGTGGCTTTTTCTACATCTAAATGTTTCAATATGATTTACAATAGACTCTGATATTTCAAATGTATTTGGAGTGATACGACAACCTCCTCTTTTTTCAACAGGAGATACTTGGTTGTCAAAAAAAAACCTACCCAAGATATGTATTCGCCTTTTAGTTATATTGGTTACTGAAACAAATGCATCTAGGCATACAGGAACACGTTCACTTTCTGATGTTGGTATAAAATATTTATAAACAGCTCTTGTTGTTCGATTTGAGAATATCTTTTTACGATTTGTGCGTTTAGCTTTATCAATAGACATGAAACTTAAAATAAATTTATCCTGTTCAATTTTTGATTGAATGTCACTTAATTTTTTATTAAAGATTTTACAATCATCATAAGTTAATTTGCTTTTTAACATGCAAATTTTATTAGAGACAGAATTTTCAATATTATGCTTACATTTTATTTCAAATTGAGTAGAAATCTTGTTTTTAATATTTTTATTTTTTTGACGTGTATTGATTTTTTTTCTTGATCTTCCCCCTTGAGTTGGTTTAGCAACTTCACAGTACTCAAGATTTACACTGGATTCATCAGAATTTGTTAATGTATCAATGTTTACCTCATTACCAGTAGCTCTTATTCTAGGAAAAGAATTACCTGGGGGGACCACTATAACAGCAGGTATTTCATCTTGGCAAATAGTGTCCAGAAGTTCAATTCCATCTATCATTTCAAATTCCATGTCTTTCAATACAGTCATGCTTAAAATATTATCAACCTGCTAAAAATAAGTTTAAATAAACCACAAAATAAAATAATGTGGATAACAGGCCATAGAGGAAAAGAATCATTTTTAAATCAATACATCATATGCTCTGATCAAAATATTGTATATTAAAAAAAAATTTATGAACATTTTAACTTTAAACAGTAAAAATAAATATGTACTTCAATATTATCAGAATTCCATTCGCCTGAATTATTTGGTAAATCTATGTTGTTGATTTGTTTATATGGTACATACACTGAACATGCTTCATTTGCCATAGTATCCTAAAAATTAAAAAAAAATTATGTACATCATAATAGTTAAATACTTTAATAATATAATCACTTCATTGCCAATATTGCTGTTTTCAGAAATTATTGATTTATTTGAATTTGCAGTTAAAATATTTTTTTTAGATAATGTCTGGAGTTCTGTAGCAGGCCACAACTCTTTCACAATATTACTCTAAATAATTTGTTAAAACATAATATTTTATTGAATGATAAATTATATAGGTAGAAATTATTATTATTTCATGTAACAAAAAATCAATATACATTTTTATAATTTTAAGGATTTAATATTGATAGATGTCATAGGCATATAGTCAAATCAGGCATTTTACTAAATGTCTAGGCAAATAGTCAAAGAAGTTAATTTTTATGCAATTTCACTATCCACTTAAACATTTAATTAAATGCCTATCTCAAGACAGAAAAATAATAAAAATAAAACATTTTATGTTATTTTAAAAAATGTTATATTATCTGTTAATTATTTAAGTGTGATAGACGGTAGACGAATATTCTTATTAAACAAAAATAAAAGTTCCATTGTTTTTACCTTGGAAAATATTACCCTTTAAATAAAATTAATAGAAAATATACTTGGTTAAACTTTTAAAATAATACAAAATGATTAATTTTTATAATTTGACTGACTTGGAATAAGCATTTAGTTAAATGCATTTTACTAAATGTCTAGGTGGATAGTGAAATCGCATAGATATTAAATTTTTTGATTATTTGTCTAGGCATTTAGTAAAATGCCTGATTTTACTATATACCTACGGGCTACGACAGATATATTCCATAAGGTTAAACTAATATACCTTGGTTTGTGTATTAAGCCATTCTTCTACTTTTTTAATGGAAGTAGATTGAAATGTTGAAAACTAATAGAAAAAAAAATTAATTAGCAGTTTAGTAGGTGATATTGAGAACATATTTTATATTATTTTAGGTCAAAGATAATCAAACGTTGTGACTTAATAAATTTGCAAATTTGTACTTACTGAATTATTATTTGTTGCTTTATCCGCCATAAGCTTGGCTCGCTTTGATTGCATCATATCTTCTAATATTATTTTTACAACTTAGGAGTTACCTAGTAATATACTAATATCCACGACAAAATAATTACATTTTCAAGTATACATTTTAAGTTTTTGTCAATGAAATATGGGATTGTGGATATTAACACGATAACGCAGCTTTTAGTATTATCATAAAGAAGCCAAGAGCAGCTATCATGAAGTTTGGCGGGATATTACAATCATGTGGTTATAGATGGGCTTATCATATAATTTTTTTTTTTTTTCTTGCATATTATTTTGCTATTTATAATTGTTGGTTTTGTACTAAACCACATCATATTTTAATGCAAATTAATGAAATAATTTTAATTTTAAAGGAGTCAACGATACTGGCACTAGCACCTTTTGAATTAAATGTAGTTTAATTGCTATAATAATAACATGTGTAATAACACGTTTTGATGTAAAACGGAAATAACACGTTATGACTAAAAATTATGGATATACTACGTTTTGGAAAAAAATGAGAAGTATGTCCTATGATTTAGTACAGGAAATAGCACGTTTTGAAGGAAAGTGGACATAGTACGTTTTAGAAAAAAAATCAATTGGAAATAACANAGTGAATAAAAATGTATTATATAAAAATAGCAAATGACTTAAATAAAAACCTACAGGATATCCATCACCCAAATATTAGATGCCAGTATGGAGTTTAGCTCTTTCCTAAAATCCGCAAAGTATTCATACTTGGAAGGAAGCTCTAAAACCCCAGAACAAGTATGAGCTACAGGAGCACGAGCCAAGCCAACAACGTTTGTGAATTCTACTTTAATATAATTGTGTGTAATAACGTCAGCTCCAGTTGAAAACCTTAAAAACTTAAGGCGAATCTCATTTGTTGTTTCTTTGATAAACCTTAAAAAGATAAAATATAATGATTAAATGTATATAAATAGCAAATACACATTTAAAAATGATTTTGCGTTAATGTTGTAAACCTACTTTTTGAGAAATCCAAACGTCTTGATTTCATCATTACTGGTTTCGTGGCATGATAAAATATTAAGGATATTTTTTGCGGTTGGCTCCATTGATTTATATAATGCAAGTAAATCATTTTCACTTATAAGTGTGTTCATCCTAACTTCCTTAAGTTCTTTACGGAATTGTTCAATTATGAAATGAGGTTTTTGTATCAACTCTTTATGGGAAATTTCTTCCAAAAGTTCAACAATATTGTATTCATTGGGCACTATTCTGCATTCAAGAGTACTAAATGCCTCCAACAAGTCATCCTTGTCTACATCTTTCAGCGCGGAGTTCAGTATTTGGTTATCACTTTCACCAAGAGATAGCAAAAATGTAGGAATCAATTTTGAAGTTACATGACCATATAGCATTTGTTCAATGATAGGCATAGCTAGTTTAATAGGTAAGTACTTAGAGTTGACCCAACCAACGTACAATATTTTAGCCATTGACTTCCACTCTTCCTCTTTAAAGTCATGTCTTATACAAGGAATTTTGACATTTGTACCAACTGTGCATGTTTCATACATAGTAATCCAAAATTCAGAAATTGTATCCCGAAAAACACCACCTGCATCTAAGCCTTTTTCAGACTCACCATTTGGAAGAATAAGTTCAACCATTAAGTTTGAACATTTTTGTTTATCAATACTTTTAAATGCTTCAATCATTTCTACAAAAACATTGCCGCGATGTAAAATGAGATGCATAGGCGGCATTATATCATCCTCTCCATTTATAATGCTTGAACTAGTAGATGTAATGGCAGAATTATATTCAGAATCTATGTCTCTGTAAAATTCCTGTATTATTTTACCTATGAATAAAATACTACATATTATGATATGGACTACAAATCTATCATTCTATTTATAGTAGTTGTTTGGTATTTCAAAAATGCATAAATTATAATTATAGGTAATAGTTATTTATTCATTCATTATAGTTAAAATCATAAAAATTTTGTGCATTACAAAACTAAAATTTTTTTTGTATGTTTTGATTATTAAATGGAACTTGTGCTCGAATTGGAAAAATAATTGAATGAGATGCAATATTATGTTAAATAATATATTCTATTTACCAAACTATAGGAGTTATTAAATTATATAAATTATAATATATTCTTTTTAAAGGGAGCTAGTTCTCCAGACTTATGAATGTGTATAGTATTTACTTTGATTGTTCATGATGTCATCTTCTAATGAACGAGTAGGCGATAAGCCTAGTTCCACAATATCATACATGGCTGAGGAATGTAAAGGCATGGTATTCATATCGCCTTCACAATAGTCAACATTTTGTGTAGTTATTTCATTGTTATCAAAATCAGTTCCTAAATAATAAAATGTATTAATGTGATGCATATTAAATTAAATAATATATAGGTAAGAATAATAAGTCACCTTTAATGATAGAATCATTAGCAATAGAAAATTCTAGAGTTGAATTTTTAGGTGGATCAGGGGTTAAAAGATTGACATGTTCCATAGAAACTTCCGTATAATTTTTTGTATTCTGAATAAATGAACGGATACCATTTTTTCTGCGAGTAGCTAGGTAATATCTCAGTTTTGGCAGACCTTAATAAATACATTACATAGGTACATGAATATAAAAACTTAGCAAGTCAATTAAAAAATAATTACCAGTTTTTTCATATAATTCTATGACTGTTGTATCCTCTTCTATAGGTTTTCTTTTAAAATCAAACATTTCAACATCTAACTCTTCCCAATTACCAAAAACTGTCATATTATCTTGACTGAAAAATAATTCTTTTGATTTTTGAAGTAAATCAAAAGGCTTTGCATACTTGGGACACTGAATATTTCTAATACCACCACCAGATGGTTCTCTAACCTATGTAAATTAATAAATATTTAAAAAAAAATATAAAAGAAAATAATTAGATGAAATAATTATAAATAGAATATGTATAGACTATAGAGCCAACCTGTTTATATTTATTATCTTTTTTATCAAAATGGAGCCAACCAATTTGTATAGATCTGGTCGTTTTGAATGCATTACCCTTGAAAATTCTGTAATAAAATTTTATTTTTTTAACAATACCTAATTATTAGTTATGTTAGAGATGTATAAATGAGGCATTATTAAAGATGTAAGAAGTAAGAATAAACTAAGAAATTTCATTATGAAAATAATATTGAAGACTAAGAATGAATACTACTATCTTTATGTACTTAAATAAATACATAGGCAGTATAGTGTGGTGACAAAATCAGACTCTGGTGCAATTAAGAAAAAAACCACCCACCACCTACCTTAGATAATTCAATATATCGTTAACTAAAACAAAAATGGTTTATGGAGAAATGTTTTAACTAAATTAACTTACTTTACAAGTGGTTGATCACTGATCAGTATCGTCAGAACTACACATTTCGCCAAATGATCTCCTATTTTCATTTTTTACTTTGTTCATCAACTTGTCTAGTAAATTATTTTTTTTATTTTTTTTATACTGATTTTGTTTGGACCAGTTGATCAAAGCCATTCGATCACCATATCCCGGTAACCAATCGCACAATTTATAATCATCTTCTTTTAAGACTGATATAACTGCTAAATCAACCTATGATAAATTCAAAACTCACTTAACTAATTTTTAATTAAAATGTACATATAGGTAGTTATTATTTAAATGTAAACAAGCAATAAAATTCAATAAATGGAACTTAGGATGAGAATTAATAATATCTTAATTTGTGATTCGGATTAATTAGGTACTAATACAGACACACATTATAATTTAGGTACCTTGTTACAATCCATCTCTCTGGCCACTTGATCAGCATTCTCGATGTTCCTGCTTTTCAAAAAATCAAGGATAGTGTTCATGACTGATGCTACACTGAAAAATTATAAATATTTTAAATACAGGATTTATACATTTCAGGATTCAATCATCACAGAATAATCTATGCTAGGCCATTGAGTTTGAGTATTTGAGTACCTATATATTATATTATTATAATATATATTGTGTAATAGGTAGCATTGATGGTATATTTTATATCTACAATAAATACTCAAATACTCATTGTTATACTTAATATATAGGCAGCTAATTATACATAAAGAAATATCATTAATGATATTACAAAGCAAACAATTAATATCAACGTACCTTTGATAAATTACAGCAAATAATTTCAATTTCCAAATTTACATTTGACAATGTATAACTAAGCAGGACAGTACTATTATAGATAATCACAGTTGGACACTACGGCATAAAGTGAGTGAAGTGACTAAGTGAGTTGTGACTAGTGGAGCTGAAGTACTGTACAAACATCGGTACACGGCAATGTTCTCTCGTGGACCTGACTATGGTCAATACTCGGAATTTAATATATTTATAGAATTGCGCGAAGCGTGCACGAGATAACGACCGGTTTTCGTCCGCCACACGCATGAGTACTATGCATTTATCTGGTTATCGGGAATCACGGACGTTTCGCCCCCGCCGTTTCGTCCCCGTCAAAAAAACCAGTCCACGGACGTTTCGTCCCCGGCAATTATTGAGATGGGACATTTCGTCCCAGAGAGTTATTAGCCATAGGACGTTTGGTCCCCGGCATATTATCAGTTATTAGAACATAAAGGGTGAAACAAAATAAAAGGGATATTAAGCATAGCCATAATGTCATGATTGAGGAATAGCTTTTGGAATTTTGGAATGAAAAAAAAAAAATAATAACTAGTTAGTTTTTTTTCTAACGAGTTAGACTAGACTATTTTACACATCAAATTCAATTAGTTAAGTTACAAAGTTAAGGGGGTTGCAGCTGATGAAAAAAAAGTGACTTTTAGACCAATAAGCTAGACAAAATTTGGTTTGACAGATTTTAATTTTGATAATGGATTATGATTGATCAACAAGTTTACTAGGGAATGATTGAGGCGATTTGTGATATCCAAGTATAAAAATATCGAAAAAATATGATATTTTTGTATTTATATTATTCATTATGACACTAACAATAATTGGAATATTCAAAATCGCCTTGATCATTCCCTAGTAAACTTGTTGATCAATCATAATCTGTTTTCATAATTAAAATCTGTCAAACAAAATTCTTCCAGTTTTGTCTAGCTTATTGGTCTAAAAGTCACTTTTTTTTCATTGAATGGAGCCCCCTCCAGCCCCCTTAAGGTTTATTTTATGATACAGAATTTAAATGTATTGAAAAACATTATAACTAGGGCTGTGAATTTAATGCACTAAAAAACCTTAAAAAATGCATTAAAAATGTCAAAGAAATGCAATAAACTATGCACTTAAAATGCAAAATATGCACTTAAAATGTCAAAAAAAAGGAATATAAAATGCCAAAAATGATAGTATACAATTCATTTAAAATGGTGTTTAATTTAATTTTCATATTTATATTAATATTAGGTACAGGATATTAAAAATTAGTACAAAAAAGTGTTTATTTATTAAAAAAAAAAAAATAGTAAAAATGTTGATTGAATTTGAATTTACATTTGCATTAAGTTAATGCTATTCACCTGAAATATTTTTAAAAAATTTATTTTGTTAAAATAATAAAACAAATTTAAAGATATTTTTTTCCGAGTAAAATATTATTTAATAAAATATAAATTTGACATAATATATACAGCCTGTGTAAAATAAAAAAAAATGTTTTCAAACAAGTCAACTGACGGAATTTAATTTAAAATACTAGAAAATGAACTAAAAAGCAAAATATGGCCTAAAAATAAGAAAAAATGACCTAAAAAATAAAAAACGTCAAAAAATGCAAAAATATGCAAAATAAAAGTTTCATAGATGGATTCGTAGTTACATGATTCAAATTATGTACTAACGAAGCTATGTTTTACAATCACCAAAAAAAAATGCACTTTCCTATAAATTCACAGCCCTGATTATAACAAACAAAATTAATGTTTAGATTGGTCAAATCTACATAGTTTTGACTTTTGACAAAACCGGCTGCAGCCCCCTTAATATGAATTAAAACTAACTAGTTAAGTTAGAAAGTTACTTAAAGCCGCGTACACACTTGTAACATTTTCTGTTACGCCGTAACGCCGTTCCACCAGTTGTCGGTAAATTTGGCCCGCATCAAAGGATGTTACGCGCAAATGTTACAAGTGGGTAAGCGGCTTAAAAAGTAACTTTCTAACTTAACTTTAACTTTCTAACTAGTTAGTGCCCAGCTTTAGTAATAAGTATGAGGAAGTTTTTTTAGATTAATTGCGCTACTGCAAGTTAAGTTAGGTTTTATATTTCTTCTTAAAAACAATGGGCTGTGGCGAGGCAGTGATCATGAAAATGTTGCATGCAAAAAATATGTATTATTAATACAATATTTATTTTATTTTTAATATAATATTATATATTATATCATTTTTAAAATAATATAATCATTTATAAAATAATATAATAATTCTTATAAATTATTTGTATTTAGTCGATCCCCGGTATAATGCTAATGGGGATTTTTTTCCCGCAATTCTTGCGACACTGATTGTACCTACAATATTCGTACAAAATACAAATGGCTTAAATTATTGTACGCGTACGATAACTATCGTACCATTGTCCAATCCGTTATTACGATTTGTCCAATCCGTTATTACGA